TGTGTGTGTGTGTGTGTGTGTGTGTGTGTGTGTGTGTGTGTGTGTGTGTGCCTGTCTCATCTTCCATCCAGAATTTCTAAGGACAAGGATTGTGTCTTGCCCTGGGGACAATAGCCCTCAGACTGGGTGCTCCCTGAGGGCAGGGATTTTGCTTCCCCACTCTCCCCACACCTCCTTCAGACTGGGGAATGCCTTGAAGCAGTGATTATATTTCTTTTCTGAAAGGCGGCTCCCTGGGGGTAGACTGTTTCCCCCCTCAGAGTGGAGGTTCTCTGAGCTTACAAACTGTGTCCCCCCAGCCTCCTACAGTCTAGGGTGGTCCCTCAGGGTGGGCCCATGCCTGTTCCCCCTCTCCTCTGAACGCCCACTCCTAATGGATCTCACTATAGGACCCAGTCCTGGGCTCTATAGACTGAGTTAAAGTTCTTGGCCAACAGCTGCTTATACCTCCCCAGGGTACCAGAGCCCAGACTCACTCTGCCAGGAGGTATGCCAACGGTGAAGGGCTTCTTGGGTCAGTCCCCAGACTCGCTGCTGGCAGACCAGCTCCCACCAGACCCCTTGGGCTGCTGCCCATAGGTTCCAGCTGCAGATCACACTGGGAGGGAGAGGACAGGGGCTGTGTCTATCGCGAAGACCCAGCACTGCTATTCCTTGAGAGCAGGTGTTTTCAAGGTGAAAGAGAAGGGACTTCATGGTGAGCAAGTCGCAGAGAAGCAGGACCATAGAACATAGAGCTGGAGAAAAGCTCAGAAACCATCTAGTCCAATCTCCTCATTTTACATATAAGGAAACTGAGGTACATGGAAGTAAAGTGATTTGCCCAAGATCACAGTAAATAGCTGGGCAGAGATTTGATGCCAGGTTCTTTGCCAACAAATTCACTGCTTTTTCCACAATGCCACAAAGAACTAGAGAGGCTTCTTTCTCAAGGTAGGGTAGTGGGGGTGAAACTCAGGTCTCCAGATCCTAGTCTTGGCCTCAGCTACTCCCTCATCTATAAAATATTTAACAAAAACAAATACATGCCATAGTGTGCCTTCCCCCACCCACCCATTCAACATAAGACAGGTATGGGGGACGGAAGACGTACTGGCAGAGCCACGATGGAAGAGAAAAGCAGGAACTCACCCGAGCTCTCCCAAATTCACCTCCTAACAACTTTAAAATAATGGCTCCAAGTGAATTCTGGAGTGACAGCACCCACAAAAGGATGGGGCAAAACAACTTTCCCAGCCCAAGACAACTTAGAAGGTAGACAGAAAAGACTGCTTGTGGTCATTCAGATCAGAGCACAGGCCAGGAGAACAGTGACCACACCTCTCCTTAGATCATACCACCTTGGAAGAACTGAAAACTTACAGGTCACCAGAATTAGCTCTGAAAACAGCAGCATGGAAAACCTAAAGCTAAGACAGTGCCCTCTCCAACCCAGGAGCAAAGCCCAACTTTAAGATAGAGTTAAAAGTTAAGAAATAGACTGGAAAAATGAGTAAAACACAAAAAAAAGAACCTGACCATTGAAAGTTACTATGGTAACAGGGAAGATCAAAACACAGACTCAGAAGGAGACGATGTCAAAATGGCTACCTGCAAAGCCTCAAGGAAAATGTGAATTCATGTCAGGTCCAAAAAGAACTCCTGGAAGAGCTCAAAAAGGATTTTAAAAATCAAATAAGAGAGGTAGAAGAAAAATTGGGAAAAGATATGAGAATGATGCAAGAGAATCATGAAAAAAAGAGTCAACAGCATGGTAAAGGAAGCACAAAAAATGGAAAAAGATGTACAAAAATTCCCCGAAGGAAACAACTCCTTAAAAAGTAGAACTGGTCCTTTAGAAAAGAATGTACAAAAACTCACTGGTGAAAATAATTCCTTAAAAACTAGAATTGGGCAAGTGGAAGCTAATGAGTCCATGAAAGATCAAGAAACAATAAAATAAAATCAAAGAAATTTTAAAAAAAAGAAAATGTAAAATATCTCATTGGATAAACAACTGACCTGGAAAACACATCAAGAAGAGATAATTTAAGAATTTTTAGGGGCAGCTAGGTGGCTCAGTGGATAGAGCTCTGGCCTTGGAGTCAGGAGAATCTGAGTTCAAATCTGGCCTCAGACACTTGACACTTACTAGCTGTGTGACCCTGGTCAAATCACTTAACCCCACTGCCTAGCCAAAAAGCAAAAAAAAAAAAAAAAAAAAAAGGACTAAGTACATGAAAGCCACAATTGAAAAAAGAGCATAGACATCATCTTTCAAGAAATCATCAAGAAAAACTGCTTTGATAATCCTAGAACCAAAGGGTAAATTAGAAATTGAAAAAATCCACTGATCACCTCCTGAAAGAGATCCCAAAACGAAAACTCCCAAGAATATTACAGTCAAATTCAAGAGCTCCCAGGTGAAGGAGAAAATACTGCAAGCAGCCAGAAAAAAAAAATAATTCAGATATCATGGAGTCGCAATCAGGATGACATAGGATTTTTCCATATTGAAAAGATCAGAGGACTTGGAATATAATATTCCAGAAGGCAAAGGAGCTAGGATTAGAGTCAAGAAACACCTACCTAGTGAAAATGAACATAATCTTTCAGGGGGAAAATGGATATTCAGTGAAATAAAGGACTTTCAAGCATTCCTAATGAAAAGACCAGAGCTGAATAGAAAATTTGATCTTCAAATACAAGACTCAAGAGAAGCATAAAAAAGGTAAACAGGAAAGAGAAAACATAAAGGATTCAATAAGATTAAACTGTTTGTGTTCCTACTGGGAAAGATGATACTTGTAACTCCCAAGAATTTTACCACTATTTGGGCAGTTAGGAGGACACATAGGCAAAGGGTATGAGTTGACTATGATTGGATGATATAAAAAAAATTAAGGGGTGAGAAAGAGTGACGTACTGGGTGAGGAGGGAAGGGAGAGGCAGAATGGGACAAATTATCTGACATAAAAGCTTTTACATTAGAGGGGAAGGTGGGGATGGGGGGGAGCACGTGAACCTTAATCTCATTGGAATTGGCTCAAGGACGGAATAACATACACACTCAGTTGGGTGTAGAAATCTATTTTTTTCTATATATAGGGAAGTAGGAGGGGAAGGGATAAGAGAAAGGGGGGACTGATAGAAGGAAAGGATGATTGGGGGAAGTGGTGGTTAGAAGCAGTGTAGTTGGAAGAAGATACAGAGACAAAGAGACAGAGACAGAGAAAGGACAGAAAGAAGAGAAAGAAAGAGACAGAGAGGGGAGAAACAGAGACAGACAGACATGCCAACCAAGACAGAAAGACAGAGATGGAAAGAGAGAGACAGGCAGACAGAGAGACAGAGACAGACAGAGAGACCAAGAAATAGACAGAAAAACAGAGAGAGGGGAGAGGAAGGGGGACAGAGACAGAGAGAGACAAAGAGAGAATGTATGTGTGTGTGCACTTGCAACTAGCTGAAGTTATAGTCTCTTTACTAGCAATGTGGGGTATTGGAAAGAGCCTCAGATTTGGAATCAGAAGCCCTAGGTTCAAATCTTGCCCCCATAATTTACTGTTAGTGATAGGCAAGTCACTCTATGTGCCTGGGCTACAATGGGACTAGATGATCTCTGAGGTCCCTATATCCTCTAAGCGATGGTAGCTGTGGATGAGGGGGAGGGGCAGAGATGGGCAGAGATGGGCCCTAAGATTTTGACCAAAGAGGTCAAGGCGGAAATGAGACAGCCCCTCAGAGAGACAGCACATGGGAGCCAGGGGGTGTGGCCTGAAGAACTGGGGTTCCTATTTGTCCCAGATTCTCTCCAAAGTGACTGTTTTTCAGCTGACGTCTAGGCATGGGTTGGGGCACAATTTGGGAGCTGGTGTCCAATAGCTGGGCAGAATCTGAAGGGGTCAGAATCCCCCCCTACCGGCTCTGGCAATGATGCTTGGCTTCTAGGGCTTTTTGTGACCCCTGCTGCCACCCTGCCTCTGGCCAGGGCCTATCCAAGTGGCTAGGGTCTCTGGGAACCTAAGAGAGGAACACAGAAAGGTCCTTAATCCTCTGGGAGCCCTCTCCTGACATCCTCCCTTCCCCCACATCTCTCTCCCGTATGAAAAATGCTGATCTAACGGAGACGTGCTAAGGGGTATTACCTGGAGCTGTTGGGGGCTGACCTTGGGGATGGAGGAAGAGAATCCAGGTGTCTGCTCTCCTGGACTTCACTCTCTCACAGCAGCCAGGGGCCTTCACAGCCTTTCCCCCAACTCACAGCCATTTTCCTCTGATAGCCTCAGGGTAGGGGAAATACCCAAAGAGCTCCTGAGACTCTTTGTGATTTCCCTACCTGAACAGCTTCTGTCCGAGGACCAGTCTCTTCTCCTGGAAAAGGGCAGGCCAACAACTGTCTCCCCGGTCCAGGATGCTGCCATTCCCAGAACTGGGACCACTTTTGCCTAGGAAAGAACAAGGCCTCACAGGCCGCCCGACCCATTTACTCCCCTTAGCCTACGATGAGGCAAGAAGCCCAGAGTAAAGTAAGCGGCCCATATCACGCTGAGAGCAAGTGGAAGAGCCAGAATTCCAACTCCTTGAGGGCCTGGGATTTTTCATTCTTGGTCAGTTTTTGGTAGACAGTAAAGCTTGCTGGCTGGCTGCTTGAATAAGGGCCCAGACCATCATGTCTTAGTTCACCCCAGAGTCAAAGAGGGGAAAGTCTAAAGTGTTGCAATCTAGGGGTGCTGGGAACCCTGAAATTCAAGGGCAAAAGACTCGGGTCCTGCCTCAAAACAATTCCACTCAAGCCTTCTTCCAGTCAGAGACTAGGTTTATTGTTTTGCCAATAGAAGCCAGTGGGACTTTTAAGAACCATCTCATTAGGTAATTGAGACTGACCTCTTTCATAAAAGAAAAGATTTTGTGGGAAGATTTGAATGGGATCCTTGAGTGGCTGATAGCCTGGGGTGACCCGGAGGTAACGGGAAGGGGGGTAGATGCCATTAAGGGTGGGAAGTGGAATGAACAATGAAGGGCCGGGCTAGGTTAGAGGTAACAGATAATTGGAGATTGGGGCAGAGTCAAAGCCCTAAGGAAAGGACGTTGAAAGGATTATATTGAAATGAGCCTCAGGGGAACGCCAGAGCCACGAGGGAGGGTTCAGGGGAAGTTTGGGGGTTGGGGAGAGGTTTCCAGGACCCATACCCCATTAGAAGCCTATTCATTTGACCATCATAACAACCCTGGGAAGTAGGCTGGGTTTCTGGTTTTGTTTTTAAATTGAATTGTTGCCACCGTTTTTCAGATGAGTGCTCACAATATGCCTTGCCCAACCTGAGCTTGGGTCTTCAGCCTCCAGTCATAGGGGTCCCTCCACTACACCCTGACCCCACCCTAAGGGCTCCCTGAGCTGCTTCTCAATGTGTCAGCCAGAGGACCTGGCTGGGGGAAGAGGCAGAGGCAGAGGCAGAGGATGGAGCTCAAGGGAGTTAGGCATGGGGTAAGAGGTATGTAGAAGGAACAAATAACCTCCACCCCTCTCACCTCCAAACCGAGAGGTACCTGCACCCTGAGGTCAGAGTAATTCAATGAATCGAGCATTTATTAAGTGCCTATTGTGTGCAGGGCGCTAAGTGCTGGGGAGGAGATAAAGATGGAAATTAGTGGGGACCTTGGTCTCAGCACTCACCCAAGGGGGAAGGCTATCCTCCAGGACTCAGAAGCCTCCGAAGAGATTGAACTCAATCCCAGGGGCTGCACCCAAGGAGGGCCATCCCCTGCCAGGCTCAGGAGAGACCTGCTGCTATCAGTTGGGCTACGGGCCTGAGGACAAAGGATGAGAGTCAGAGGACCTTGGACGTAGACAGGCAGCAAGTGGAACCAGAATCTGAACCCAGGTCACCCTGTTACACCTTCAGGTGATTTACTGCCATGCCACTAGCGTTGGCTCAGGTCCACCCGGTTTGGAGGACCTCTGAGCTGGAAGGGACCCACCCCAGAGGCCATCTGAAGCAGGAATTAATCCCCTCCCCATTATCCCCTACAAATGGTCATGCAAAGTCTACTCCAAAAAACTCCAGAAACAAGGAACTCATTATGTCCTAGTAATAATAATTTACATATCCATAGCACATTAAGTGTAAAGTCCTTTATATGCATCCTTTTGTTTGATCTGAACTATAGCCCCTTGAGGTGGTTGCCTTTCAGTTGTACAGCTGGGCAATGCTAGTGAGTATCCAAGGCAGGATTTGAGCTCAGGTTTTCCTGACTGCTCTAACTTCAGGGCTTTATCTACGACACCTTCCCCTTCTGGGAGAGCTGGGTGTGCTGCTCCCTTTTTTCTCCTCCATCACACTCTTTACTCAGCAGCTAAGCTCTACTTGAACACCTTCATCCACGTTATCCTCCCAGACCAGAAGGCCTGCCCACTACTGCTCTGCTCAGGTCTCATGGGCTTCATCCCCTGTGCCTTCACCTCCTCCGATGAGCTTCTGGGGGTGCCGGGACCCGGCGGAGCCGAGACCCTGCTGAGAAACCCTGAGGAGGGGGGAGACTCTTCTGAATCCTGGGAGCCAACAGCAGGCTCTGGGGGGGAATCAGTGCAGCTGGCAAGGGGTGACTCTGCTGCCTGGGCCTTCTGCCGCCACCGCTGTAGGGCGTTCTGAAGGAGCCGCAACGTCCTGCTCTGGGAGAAAGAGCTGAGAGACAAGGTTTCTGCTGTGAAACTGACTGACCTTTCACTCGTCCCACACACCCCCAGAACCTATCCTGTGCTTGAAAGAAGGAAATAAGCAATTATTAAGCACCTACTACGTGCCAGACATTGGGCTAAGTGTTTTTCAACAACTCTTCGGGGAAGGTGCTATTATGATCCCTGTTTTACAGTTGAAACTGAGGCAGACAGAGGTTAAGCAACTTGCTCAGAGTCACACAGCAACTAAGTGTATGAGGCTGGATTTGAACTCAGGTCCTGTGGCTTCAGAATCAATGATCTTTCCACCTTCTACTCCAGGAAGTTAGATGATGCTATAATGCACAGAGTGCTAGGTTTAGAGTTGGGAAGACTTGAGTACAAATCCTGCCTTAGACTTTTCCTTGGGCAAGTCAGCTCACCTCTGTCTGCCTCAATTTCCTTATCTGTAAAATAAGGATAATAATAGTACCTACCTCCAGGGTTGTTGTGAGGATCAAATGAAATGAAATAATATTTGTGAAGTGTTTAGCACAATTGTGCCTGGCATGTAGTAGGTGCTTAATAAATGTTTGTTCCCTTTTTCTTCCCAGATGAAGGGAGGCACAGGGAGATTAAATGACCTTACTCCCAGGGTTGTTGTGAAGATCAAGGAAGATGAGATAATATTTGTAAAGTGTTTGGCACAATTGTGCCTGGCACATAGTAGGTGCTATTTACATGTTAGCTAATATTATATTCCCCCCGTCGTTTCCCTTTCTTTGAATCCCCAGTGCTTAGCAGAGTGCCTGACACATAGTAGGTGCTTAATAAATGTTTGTTGGCTGACTAACTGACCATCCTGACTTCCAGCTCAGGATTCTATTGGTCCCCATTCTGGAACTGACTACATGTCATCAAGCTTTAAGCTGGTTATGAGGTGGGGGCTGGGCAGTGCCAGTTCCTCTGATACATACTCTGCCCGCTGGTGCTGGGCCAGCCTTCGGGACCATAGCAGGACCACCCGGTGTAGTTTCAGTTTCCGGCAGGCCTCTTCCAGAGAGTCCTTTGCCCTGACCCCCGGAAGACAGCAGGGCTGGTCTTGTTCTCCTGGGCCGTGGCTGACTGGTGCTCTGCTGGACCCCTCATGGGCCACAGTCACTGGGGGCAAACTCAGGTTAAGAGGAGGAGGACAGACAGAGGCCGGGGCTGATGAGAAACGGGGCTGACCCTCTTTCCCCATACCTTCTATCTCTGACCTCACCCCAGAAAAGGCTTATTGACCCATGATAGTGAGGATGAGAGCTTGGAAGAAATGGGGGGGGGGGCAGGGCATAAGCCAGGGTGCCCAGGACAAGATGGTGCTTAATAAATGCTGTTGGCTCAGGATGGGTAAGAGAGCCAGCAGCTGGAGGAGTCTAAGAGTGGAGAGGGCTGGCAGAGCAAGTCAAGGCCTTTACATCCCATTTGGTCCTGCCCTGTGTGTTTTCTCAAGCCCTGGGTGCCCTCCTGGGTCGAACCCCTCTCACCCTCCAGGTGCCAGCTCCTCTGGCGAAGGAGGTAGAGCTGGGCCACTGTCCTTGAGTGTGTAGCTTGGAGCCACACCATTTTCACCCACTGCTGTAGGCTCTTCCTCAAAGTCTCAACCCGCCAGCGAGCCAGCCTGCCCTGGCACCAGGTCTTTCTCTGTGTGTGGCGTATCCATGCCCCAAAGCACCTGAGTGGACAAAGGAAGAGGCATCTGTCCCTCCCTCTCCAAGGTCCTGAAGACTTAGCCTGTCCCTCTCCCCCATGGAACTGCAAAGCTTGACCCCTAGAGGTGGAAAGTACAGGGGTATGGGTTCACTGGAGGAAGTGCTGGGAGAGACCATGGAGGGTGAGTGGGAGACCCTGCCAGGCCTGGGCTCTAGGCCACGGGGAACAGGGGCCTGTCCATGGACCATGTCTGGGCCCAAGGCCCAGCAGTGGTGGTCAAGGCAGCAAGAGGCCAGGAGGCCTCAGAATACAAAGACCTAAGGTTTTGGGGAAGCTGCTTGGGTTTGGATAAAGTATAATCATCTTGGCAGAAACACTCAGTTCTCAGTCAGTTCTCTGCCCTCTCAATTCTTGGATGTTGGCAATCTCTACTTACTCTGGTAAGGACAGGATGTGGCCTGACCTGGGGAGTCTCTACTGCCTCTGACTCTCTTCCCACTGGGGCCACCCCTCCCCCTGCCCATTTAGGGATGACCCTCCCTCTCTCCCCACACACAAAGGAGGGTTCTACCCCAAGACCTTACAGGCAGGCTGTGCTTCAGCTAAACCCAATAGGCCAAAAATCTTTTGGGTCAAGCACAAATTCCTTAGGCGGCCCCGAGATGACTAAGGCCATCAGTCCATACCTTCTCATTTTACAGATGAGGAAACTGAAGTCCAGAGAGATGCCCAAGGTCACATAGGCTGGGATTCGAACCCAGGTCCTTTGATTCCACTGGCTGACTTCCTAACACACTGTGATGCCTCCCTCTCCAAACCTCCCATGGATCCCTGCTGCCCAGAACAGAAAAGTTTAATTCTCCTCAGCCCAGCACTGAAGGTCCTCCCTGACTTGGGCATGGCTTCCCACACTCTCTAACACCTGCCATCCTACCGGCCAAGCTGGGCTCTCTGATGCCGGGTCACCAGGGTACAAATCCGGGCTGAGTTCATGGTCCTGGCCCGCCAGGCCTGGAAAACCCGTCGAAGCTTCTTCTTCCCCAACTTGGCCCGGGCCTGGGCCTCCTTGCGAATTTCTGCCACCAGCACTTTCTGCAGGTACCACAGGTGGAAGGCTGCTGGGCCCCAGTGGGCTTGGGGGGAGGAGGGAGAAAGAGAGGGACCTGAAAGGCGGTTGGAGGCAGCAGGGAGGGCAGGGGGATGACCCAAAGAATCCATGCCTGGCCAGCAGCCCCCCACCCCTATAGGAGCAAGGTCAGTGAAAGTATGGCCAGGAGTGGAGAGCGGCAGAACCAGGGAGGAGCTGGGGTGAAGGGCAGGTGGACACCATTTAGTTTGATCTCTTTGTTTTAAAGAGAATTTCCAATGCCATGATCTTTACCCTGTGCCACTGGGTGAGTGGGGCTGATATAAAGACCCTAAGTGGTGTGGGGGAAGGGTAGCCCTCCTGGCCCAGTGGAAATCAAGTCAATTGGTGTTGCAGGTGGGGAGAAAAAGGAGAAAGGCAAGAAAGTGGCAATGAGGTTGAAAAGAATCCCAATTACTGGCTGGAAACCTCTGCTCTTAATGGAATCATCACCGGACATGGGCCAACCAGGAGAAAAGTTTATCCAATCAACCAAACAACCAACTAGTCAATCAATTAATTATGCCTCCACTTAGCACTTTATACAGCGTTTTTAAAAATATTTTTTTCAAAATGTTTCTTTTTTTTTTTTGGCTAGGCAATGGGGTTAAATGACTTGCTCAGGGTCACACAGTTAGTAAGCGTCAAATGTCTGAAACCGGATTTGAACTCACGTTCTCCAGACTCCAGGGCTAATGCTCTCTATTCACTGCGCCACCTAGCTGACCTCAAAGTGTTTCTATAGATATTTTCTGATGGGAAACCTAACAACTACTGTGAGGTGTGTAGTGAAGAGATTGCTGTGTCCATTTTAGAGATGAGGAAACTGAGGCAGTGTGATACAGTAGGAAAAAGAATCCCCCTGGACTTGGAGTCAGAAGCCCACCATTTCAATATTGATCCTGCTGCTACTTACTTTCTACACGTGGGCACTGAGTAATTCAGTGAACCTCCTTATGCCTCGGTTTCCTGTTCTAGGAAATGATGGGATTGGATTGACCTTTGACAGTACACTTCATGGTATGAATCTTGGGGTTCACTCAGTAAGATAACAGGGTCATACGAATTTAGGAAGTTATCAGTGACCTTTCAGTGGACAAATCTGATGGCCTATTCTCAGTCCTCATCCTTCTTGATCTCTCAGCTTTTTACACTGTTGACTACCCTCTCCCCTTGGACACTCTTCTGAGTTTTCATGACTCGTCTCTCCTTCCTGGTTCTTTCTACCCAGCTGTCTAAATGCTCTTCCTCAATTTCCTTTGCTGGATCTTCATCCAGGATCCACCCACTAACTGTGGGTGCCCCTTGAGGCTCTGTCCTGGGCCATCTTCTTTTCCCTCTCTATATTCCCTCTCTCAGTAATCTCATCAGCTCCCACAGGTTCAATGATCAGCTCTACACAGATTATTTCCACATCTATCTATCTATCTGTCTGTCGGTCTGTCTCTCTGTCTGTCTGTCTGTCTCCAGTCCTGGTCTCTATTGATTTCCAGTCTCCTATCACTTATTACCTAGTGGACATTTCCAACTGGATTTCCCATAGGAATCTCAAACTCATCTGTCCAAAATGTAATTGATCTTTCCCCCAAAACCCACCCCTCCTCCTAACTTCCCTGTTTCTGTCTAGGGCACCACCAACCTTCCAGTCAACCAGGCTCACAACCTTCGCTCTTTCTCACCTCCCACACCAATGAGTTGCCAAATCTAGTCAATTGAACCTCAACCAGTATCTCTCTCCCTCTCTCTTGTCTCCTCCTCCTCCTCCTTCTTCTTCTTCCTCTTCTTCTTTTCTCTCTCTCTCTTTCTCTCTCTCCCCTCCTCTTCTCTCTCTCTTCTGAACAAGACTTAAAAGAAAACTGATATGGCAATCTAGTCTTCACTATCTCCAGCTGCCTAATCAAAACTGCCCAACTCATACCCCAAACAGGAAGAATTGTCTTTTCTCCTACCCCAAACCTGTCCCTTTTCTGAACTTTTCTAACCTTGTCAAAAGCACCACCATCTTTTCCCACTCCCCTCACCCCTTCTCCCAAACGAATCAGTCCCCAAGTCTTGTCACTTCTCATGTCTGACCCCACCTCTTAGACCCTCATCATCCCCAAAGTGGCCTCCCTGCCACAAGTCTCTCCCCTCTCCAACCCATCCCCCACACAGCTGTCAAAATTGATATTCCCAAAGCACGGCTCTGACGGTGTCGGGAACCCTGGTCCAAAAGCTCCCTCTTCTCTCTTGGGGAAAATACAAATCCCTATGCTTGGCATCTGGAGGCCTTCTTAATCCGGCTCCAGTCCAGTTTTCCAGATTCTCCCAGATCTCCCTTTCACACACTCTCCAGCCCAGCCCCACCGGCCTATTTTCTGTTCCCCATATACTACACTCGATTACCCATCTCCATGCCTTTGCATAGGCCAGTCTCCCTGCTTAGAGCACCCTCCTCACCTCTGCTTATTAGAATCCCTGGTTTCTTTCCATAACTCAGATCAAATGCCACATCCTACATGAGGCCTTTTCTGATTCTCTCCCCCCACCTACCCCTCGCCGCCAAGTGGCCTGCCCCTCTGAAAGTCCCTTGTATTTACTTTGCATATATTTTGTATTTACTTGTACAAGTACAGTTGTCTCTCTTGTTAGACTGTAAGCTCCTCGGGGCAGGTACAATTTCACTTTCATCTTTGTATCCCCAGGCCCTGACACATAGGAGGCACTTCATAAATGCTTGCTGAATGAATGAATGAATGAATGAATGAAAGACTAGTGATCATGCAGTCCAATCTCCTCCTTTTATTAATGATAATAATAACTCACATTTACATAGCACTTGGAGGTTTGCAAGGCAATTTCCTCCCCCAGACCCTGAAAAGTAAATAGTCACAGAGCTGCAGACTAGCAGAATCTGAGATGGATGGAAGGGGACCAACCCGTATCTGACCAGGAATCCTCTCCGCCAACATCCCCCAGCCTCTCTCTACCTCACGGCCAGCAGGGAGGCTTCCACTCTGGGACCACTCTAACTGGCAGGAAGGTTTTTCCTGACCTCGGGCCTATGGCTGACCCTCTGCATTTCTCACCTATTACCCTCTGGGACCTCTTCCAAGGGACAGCTTTACAGCCCTGAAGAAAACGATCCTATGTCCCCCAAGCCTTCTTTTCTCCAGGCTGAACACCCTCAGGTCCTTCCCACAATCCTTCTAATAGCCATCCTGGTCACTATCCCCTGGCATCTCCAGCATATCAATACCCTTCCTAACATGAGGTGTCTGGAACTGAATCAGAGGACTCTAGATCTTAGAGGTGGTCAATCCTCGACTCTAGTTCTCAGAGTGGGGTAGAGCAGACGGTCACTGAACTTGGAGCAGGAAGACCCAGGTTCAAATCCTGCCCTTGATGCATACCAGCTACGAGACTCTAGGCAATTCATGGCGCCTTGGTTTTCTCCTCTGTAAAGTGAGGAGGTTGAATTCTCTGGCCTCTAAGATTCCTTCCAGCTTTAGACCCATAATCCTATGATCTGGCCTGATTGGGGTATATTCAAAACTGGAAGCAACCTGTTCACTTAACAGAATTATCTTCTAAGTGAATTTCTATGAAAACAACAATATTCTAGGTCCACCGAAATGATCAGAGAACACCCTGAAATGTTTGGAGAAGCATCTAGCTCTGGGAAAAACCATTCTAAGAAATCAGGACTGCTCTTAACCTTGAGACGGCCTGGCACAGGAAACAGAAGACCCGCCCCGGGGGTAAGGAGGAGCTGGGTTGAAGACCTGCCTCTGATACACACTTGACTGTGAGCCAAGCCTGAGCAAGCCACTTAACCAAGTATTTGGTAAATAACATACGAGCTGCTGATGTGCAGGGGTGGTTTTCCACCCAGGGAGTTCCTTAACTGGATGAAATCTCAAATCTGGAAAGGCAACAATCAAAAACAAAACCAAAAAATCCCTCGCACACACCCACCCACACAATACAAGCGCATGCACTGGATCCGCTAAGGTCTCATGGAGGCTATTAAAAAGCAGAAGCAGGAAGTGGTTTGTATAATTGCTGTTATTATGAAGCATCGCTCTTCTTGTCAGCCAAAAGGGTCAGAGAGAATTCTCACCTGCTGGGTCAACTTGCCTGTTTTGAGAAAGATCGAAAACACAGAAACTTAGCCGTGGAATTAACGCCTCCCATCTCTGCCTCTCTCTGTGTCCCTAGTATCCCTTTTCCAACTTCCCAGGTTTCTGTAACACCCATTGGAGTCTCAAGTAAGGTTTCTGCCACTTATAATGCCCACGCCATTTATTAGTGGTGGTATTTCTCCAAGGGAGGATTCAGGCACTGGAACACGCTGTTCATTCTTTCGTTCATTCATTGAGCATTTTAGAAGCACGTTCTTGTTGCTGGGGATATAAAGACCCCCTCCCCCAAAAACAAACAAACAAACAAACCAGTCTCCATCCAAGGAGCTTACGTTCCATTGGGGGAATTCAACAAAAATACTATTGTACATAAGTAAATACAAAGATAAGTAAAATACAAAGGAAGTCATTTGAAACAATTTCAGGGGATTGGGGCAGAGAGCACCAAAAAGCTTGGGGCACCAGGAAAAGCCTCTTGTAGCAGGTGGCGCCTGAGCTGAACCCTTTAAGGGAGCCAGGGATTCTAAGAAGTGGAGGAGTGGGAGGGAACGCATTCCAGCCCTGGGGGACACTGCTTGTGCAAAGACACTGAGGTGGGAGATGGAATGTTGGATACAGAAAATGACAAATAGGCAGAGGAGAACTATTCTAACCACCCATGCGCACGGCAGCAGCAGTAAGACAGGGTTTTAGTACTTGCTGCCTCATTTGAACGGTAAAATTCAGCCCAATAATCCTCCTAAGTAGCTATTCCATCCCCACAATGCTCTGTGTCCCCTTGATGACGAAGGCCAGTGATCTTCCTCTGCTTGAGGCTGACCGCGATGCCATCCCTCCATATCAGGCGCAGGGGGGTGAGTTTGCTTATCATATTTCCACAGAGAGACAATGGGCGACTTTTCAAATTAAGAAGAGATACAGTACCTGTCCCAGCAGAGAGAAAGAAAACTAATCGACCTCCTAGAACAGCACTGCTCTCTCTTCCAGGCTTTAAACTTGCTCCTACGGTCACAAACTGCCTGAGTAAAGTCACGCTGGGCAAGAGAAAATCTCAAACCTTCCCCTTACATCACTGCCATTCCAAAGTGGTCACTGCTATTCTAATTGATTTAATCTAATCTATCACATGCATCCTTTAAAAAAAAATTATTTTGGGGGCAGCTAGGTTGGGCAGTGGATAGAGCACCTGCCTTACCTGACCCGACCTGAGTTCTAATCCAGCCTCAGACCACACTTGACACTTACTAGCTGTGTGACCCTGGGAAAGTCACTTAACCCCAATTGCCCCCCCAAAAAATTATTTTGTTTCAGTTGTGTGATGTCATCAATTTGGGGAATGCCTGCTGTGCAAATTCCCTCCACCAAGGCAACTCATCTGTAATTTCTCCCTTTTTGAAGAGGGGTTCTTAACTTCAGGTCCATGAACTTGGATGGGAAAGAATTACATCTTTGTTTTTACTCACCTTTAGCTGAAATTTAATATTCTCTTTAATCATGAATGTGGGCAACAAAAGATGATTCTGAGGAGTCCTTGGACTTCACCAGATTGCCTTTGGCAGGGTACATGACACACAAAGTGGTTTAGACAGTTGCCTGGGGCACTGAGTGGGGGTGGGGGGGTTGAATGACTTGCCCAGGATCCCACGGCTAGTTAGCGTTACAAGGAAAACTTGAACCCAGGGCTTTCTGACTCCAGGACCAACCCTCCACTCTCTACATCACACTGTCTCTCAGATCCAATGGTTTTGTCCGGCTGGTGGCCACCAGAGAATTTGGGACAAGAAACTGACTGTGGACATCAAAGAGCTCCAATTTGGAGAGACAAACACAGAATCACAGTGCACAAGTGTTAATTAACCCCTTCTTATAGGTGAGAAGACTGAGGCTTTGGGCAGGTAAGTGACTTGTCTACTTTCCTTCAGCTGGGAAGCGTCTGAGGCAGGGTTTGAACCCAGGGCTCCAAGCCCAGGTCTCTATCCTCCACACCATGGAAGAAACTGAAGTGAATTGTCCTGGCCAAGGTCTAGACCCAGGGGTGAATCTGGGGCTAGAATTCACTTTCCAATAAATGGCATTGCTTCTCACTGGGATCTGTGTGGGGTCCTGCTGTCATTTGTGTTAGCTTAAGTAAGATCCTGTCCTTTTCAAATGGTGGCATGAGCATGAGTCATCCCTGACTGGAGATCTGCTATGAAACAGTCCTAATTTCAGTGAAACTATAACCCTAGGTCCAAGGATCCTTCCCCCTCCACCAGAAGCTCCAAGCTCACATGGATCAGGTCCACCCTGAGGGCCTGACTTCCCAAACCAGAAACTACAGGAAGGTCATTCTAATTTGTTGACGGGCACTCCTGCCCACTCAAAGCAGACTCATTGAGGGTCAACAAAGGCTTGGAATTGCCATTCAAGGGGAAAACAGTGCCCTAGCTCATAGAGGTGTCTAACCCTTCCTAATGCCCTGTTGGGTCTCAGGCCCTAGAAACCACCCTTATGGAGACTTTGGCACCCTCCCTTAGCGGTTGCCACAACAATGTAATAGTGGGGTTCAGGGGTTGTGATGCTAAAGCAGTGGTTCTCAAATTTTTGATCTCCAGACCTCTTTACACCCTTAAATTACTGAGGATTCTCCAAAGAGCTTTTGTTTATGTAGAATATATTTATCCATATTCACTGTATTAGAAATTAAAATATCTTAGTATTACGAAAATAATTTTGACTTTGTAAACACCCTGAAAAGGTCTTGGGGACCCTTAGGGGGGTCTAGGCCCTGATTTGAGGGCCAAAGGGTTTTGGCATAAAGGATTAGCTTCCTGTGGCCAGGGCCAGGTCCCTTCTTTGCCCCTCCCGCTTCATCATTGACACTGGCTTCTGGCCCCTCCACATCCTCTTTCCCCAACACCCACTTACCAGCTAGCCGCTGAAGGTCTCGAGTGGCCGGGGCCTTAGGGCTCTGGCTGCCTGATTTCCATCTGGGGTGGAGCTGAATCTTTGGTGCTCCCTCCACTCCACAAACCACCCCTAGTGTTACAAAAGATCTGCCCAAAGAGAAGCATGTCATCCGTTGCTTGGACGTGTGGACACTCCTGCCCCACCACAATCCCAAGCTCCCCATTCCTAAGCATTTTAAAGGGTGCCAACAGAATTTCCAAAATAAGTATTTCAGGCCAACTTCCTAACAATCCCATGAAGCAGGATCATAGGATGGTGGATTTAGAGCCGGGCCATTTAGTGTAACCCCCTCACTTTATAGGTGGGGAAACGGAGGCCCAGAGAAGGGAAGGGACTTGCCCATATACTCCAAATCCAGAATTCCTTCCATGTTGAGAAGAAGTTTGCTCACCCTACTCCTGGATTTCTCACACTGGAAGAACCCTCCACCCTGGGGCCTTTCTTCTGATTGTCTGGATCCTCCCAGAACCTCCATTTTAAGGAGGTCAGCCAGGCCAGCCATGTCTTCATTCTTCTCCAAGCTGCACTTCTGACTTTATCCACCAGGCCTCTCAGTTGGATACACCCCACCCTCTCCTCCCTCTCCCCCTTTCCCAGGCTCCCTTTTATGTATTATCTTTCCCAATTAGAATGTAAACTCCTTGAGGGCAGGGGCTTTTTGAAAAAAAAAAGCTCTTTTTTTAATAATCTATATAACTTTATTACTTCCTTTTATAAAATATCTCATCCTTTAGGGAATCTGGAAGTTTCTATTTCTAGTATTTGAGAATTTGTTACTATATGAGATGGTCGTTTTCTTTCTTTCTGCTTGTATTTCTATCCCCAGCACAGTGCTTGGCACATAGTAAGAGCTTAATAAATGTTTGCTGACTTGAATTACTACTGCTTCTCAGGTAGTACAAATATTATCATTTCCATCTGGAAGATGAGGAAACTAAGGTGCTGAGAGCTAAAGGGATGACACAAAGCTGGGAGGGACAGTCAACACACTGAATGACAGACTTCAAAACAATCTTCATGGACAAGAACACTGGATCAAATCTAATGACCTGGGATGACTATAGTCCTACTCTCATGTTCAATCTGCTTCTCAAGTCCAAGATGGGTTAGGTGTGCTAAGATAGTAGTTTGTCTGCAAAGGATCTCTGGGTTTAGTAGACTGCCACCTTAATAAGAGTCAACAGTGTGACATGTCAGATAAAAAAGTTAGTGGGCTCCAGAGTTGCATTACGAGAAGCACGGCATCAGGGAATAAGGAGGTGATGGTCTCTCTGTCCTGGTCTGGAATACTGGGATTAGTTCTGTTTGGAAAGGACACTGATTAGCCAGAGAATGTCCAGAAAAGGGTGATCAGCATGGTGATGGGCCTCAAGTCCATTCCATATCAATCCAGCAACAAGCATTTATTAAGTGCCTACTGTGTACCAGACCAAAGAAAGAAGTGAAACCACCCCTGCCCTCAGCCCTGTGAGCTTAAACACTCTACTGGGGGACACAACATGTGCATATGAAAGGATGTATTAAATCTATATGAGTTATTTCGGAGATGAGGCATGGGAAACATAGGAAAGCCCATATGTAGGGGGTGGCATCAGTGCTGAGCTTTGAAGCCAATTCCTGTAGGAATTCTGTGAGGCAGATAGAAGGAAGTGCATTGCAGGCATGAGGAACAGCCTTTACAAAGGCCTGGAGATGGGAAATGGGAGATAGAGCGTCATATTCAAGGAACAGTAAGGAAGGCCTGGTTGAACAACTATAGAGTACATGGAGGACCTACAATAAGGCTGGAAGGGAAGAAAGGGGCTAGGCTGTGATGTTTTAAATGCCAAACCAGAGGAGTGTGTCTTTGACCCTAGAAGTACAGAGTAAGGGAGTGACATGGCCAGACAGAGCTGTGCTCTAGGAAAGTCAAATGTTTGATTTGGGCAGCTGTGTGAAGGATGGATGGGAGGCTGGGAGGCTGGCTAGGAGGCTACTGCGATAGGAGATGAGGGCCTGAACCAGGATAGAGGCTGTGTAAAGTAGAGAGAAGAGGACTGATGGGAAAGATAGTTCCTGTTCTCAAAGAGCTCATGTTCTAATTGGGGGAGACAACCCATAAAAGAAAGGTCAGACGCAAAGTCCTGAGCACCCAAAGGGAGAAGTGCTGGGGCAGATGGCAAGGCCCTGAGATCCTTAGGCTACATCTGCAGGCCGGACAACAGTGCTGAGCATTCTACTATAGAGAAGACTCTTTTCCAGGCATGAGTTACACTTGGTGACAGATTAAGTTCCTTCCAAGTCAAAAATTCTGTGGTTCTCTGGTTTGCCCACAGCTGCCCATCTGGCTCTTGGAAGAGCCTGGGATGGGTGCCAAGCCTCGTCTTGCATCCCCATCCACTTTACCAAGTGCAGTTTAAGGGTTGGGTTTGTCCTGAGTCAGCCACATTCCTCTGTGGAGGATTTGGGGAAGGATTCTGTCCTTGCAGGGCCCTTCTCAGCCACTGCTTCAAAGCCTGGCGATGCCACCTGCTAGGACAGCAGGCTGTAGCCTACAGGAGGATTGGCTGAATTTGTCCTCCCCTACTGTAGCACCAGCCGGGGCCAGGGTCGAACAAACCTGTCTTTCTAAGAAGCCCCAGGAGCGTAAGAAGTCACATTTTCTTTACCTTTCCTGTTGGCCTTCCTGGGAGGGAAGGAGATCTTTCATAGGAGTCTCTGTCCTGGACTGAGTCAGCAGCTTCTTTTCTCTCCTATTCAAATAGAGGTCTTTCCACTGGACCAGAGAGACCACAAGAAGGAGACTTGGCTGCAGCGGGAGTCTCTGCCCAACCCCCTGGGTTCAGGGGGCTGAGACCATAGGACTCAGGCTTGGGGAAAGAAAAGGCCAGCTTGGAAGGGTCAGGGCAGGCATATGCCAGGGAGGGGAATGGGTGAGAGGATTAAGATGTTCCAAGGGCAGAATCTTGATTTCACAGGATTATAACATTTTAATTTGAGAAGGAATTTAGAGATTGACTCCTCTAATACCCCAGCTCCCCACCTATTTTATGAGGAGGGGATGGAAACTGAGGAGTGGAGAAGTGATATGACCTATCCAAGGGTAGTAAACACAGGCAGTAAACCACAGCGCAGATTCAAACCCAGGTCCCAGGACTCCACAAACTCCGTGTTAGTTCTCTTCTCTACCTGTCATTGGAAGATCCCATCCTATCCTACTCCATCTAATTTCCACGTTCTTTTATGCACATTGTACAACAATCTATATTCTTCTTAGATCTACACTACTTTTCATATATTTTTATTTTGTTAAATATTTCCCAATTACATAGAAAATTTTTTAACATTCATTTTCAAAACTTTTGCGTTCCAAATTCTTTCTCTTAATCCCTCACCCCGTCTCCTGGAGAAGGCAAGCACAATGATATTTTAGAGTCATATTCTTAAAGCCAACATACTCAGTGAGGATGACTCTTCTCTAGACTTAAGCATTTCCTGTATGCTCAGTAGAATTGATCAATCAATAAACTAAAAGGTACTTATTAAGTTCCAGGAACTGCTATGCTCCAAAAATACAAAGACGAAAAAGGAGGGCGTCTCTGTATTTGATCTTGCAGGTAACAGGGAGCCGTTGGAGTTTACTGAGCGTGGGAGTGATAGTCAGATCAAGCTGATCACTTCGGCAGATGTGTGGAGGATGGATCAGAACACGGGGTCTTGGATCATACAGCCAACTTTTAATCTCTACTGTGAAAGGGGCCCATCGGGGCAGGTTCCCCTCCACCCTTTCCCTTTCCGAGCTCCAGACCCCTACCCCCTTCTCTCCCTCCCTGCGGGTCTCACCTTTTGGAAGCTCATGGCCAGCACAGTCCGACCCTGCTTCCTCTTCATGTACTCCATCTGGGCTTCCCGGAGCCACAAGGACCAGCGCATGGCCCGGATGCCCTTTCGCAGGAGATGTCTCCGCCTCAGCGCCCTGGCTACAGCCCGCTGTCCTAGCAGGTGGCATCGCCAGGCTTTGAAGCAGCGGCTGAGAAGGGCCCTGCAAGGACAGAACAGATTGGAACTCCAGGGGCCGGCAGGGGCTGCTGTCCAGCCTCTGCCCTCCCTTCCCCGAATCCTCCAAGGTCTCCTGCCGTCCCCAGCCTCGGGCCAAAGCGGAGCAGGACTGACACCCACGGAATTTCCCAGGAAAAGTATTCAGGGATGGACAAATACTGCACCAGGAGTAGTGTATACCTAAAGAACGCTTACCCTGACTGCTTTCACTCCTTGCCTCTTACTCACCCAGGAGATGCCTCTACCCTGAAGTCCTTCCTCTTCATTGGTGAGACCCTAGACCGCATCTATGCTCACTTCACTCTTGACTTTCCTCCTGTCTGGACTCTAACACCCTCCTATGCTCCCCAATTCCAACCCCTTTATATGTGGGCTTCCTCTATTAGAAGGGAGGAACTATCTTGCTTGCTTGTATTCCCAGAGCTTAGGGAAGGGCCCGGCACAAAGTTAAGTCCTTTAAAAAAAATGCTCTCCATCAAATTGCCTGCCTTCTCAATTGGGCAGGAAGGGAAGGAGAGAATTGGGAGCTCAAAATTTGAAAACAAGAATGTTACACTTGTTTTTACATGTAATTGGGGAAAATATTAAATTAAAAGGATAATGCTTTTGTCAAGCTATTAGGAGACACCTTGTTTTTCAGAGCTAAGGTCCGGCAAGCAAGCTGCGCCCTGATCTTGGTATGACAACAGCCCTTTGCAGCTCACCCTCTGGATGATCTCACCCTCTGGCAAAATCCCATAATTACTGTATCGCTTTGACCAGAACCAGGTGCTCTCTGAACTTGGACGAGCTCAGACAAGTGCCTATGTTCTGGTCACGAAGCCCTGCTATGAATCAAACTTGTCTCATTGTCACTGAATGTTACTTCTCATTGTCAGGGCTACAGAACACTGTGTGGCCTAGGTATAAGTACTGAGATTTGGCCACACTACAGTGGCACCCCCGAGTAGGGGCAGGGCCCCCCGCACATGTGTCTAGATCCCCGCCTTGCTTGCAAGCCCTTTCCCTCACTTTGAACTTAAACTTCTCTCCTCTCTCCAGCCTTCTCTGTTCTGCTCTGTCCACCCACAGGTTAGAGGCTGGTTCTGCCCACCTGACACTCTCCACCTGTTGCATTCTGGCTCCTGACCTCCTCACTCAACTGAAAGTGCCCTCTCCAAAGTCAGCAGTGATCTTTTAATTATCACACCCCATAAAAAAGGCTTTTCTCAGGCATCCTCTTTCTCAGCCTCGCTGTCACAACTCTCTCGGGGTTTCCATGACACTGCTTTCTCCTGTTCTCCTCCTACCTGTCTGACTGCTCCAGCTCAGTCTCTTTTGCTAGCTTATCATCCTCATCATACCCCGTAACTGTGGGTATTCCCAAGGTTGTGCCCTGGGACATTTTCCTCTATACATGCTCTCTTGGTAAACTCCCCTAGGTTTAACTTCTGTCCCTGTACCAGTTTATAATCAAGATGTTGCCAGAAGTTTCCTTCTGAGAGCTGCTAGCTCCAGGCTTTCTCCTAGGTGTCAGCCCCCCATCACTGTTTCCCTATTGGACATTTCAAACTCTGTCTCCCAGAGACATCTCAAAGTCAAAATGTCCCAAACTAAACTCATCATCTTTCCTCCAAAACCTTCTCTAGCTTCCCCTCTCCATGCTTTTGAACCAGGTATTTCTCATGCCTGGAATGCCTTCTCTTCTTACCTCCACCTCAGAGTCCCTCTCTTCCTTTGTGACCCAGCTCAAGCACAGTCTTCTGAACAAAACCTTTCCTGATTCCCCCAGCCGCTACTGTCCTCCCTCCCAAACTACTTTCTGTCATATTTTCTATGTACTTGTCTCCCCCATTAGACACTCTTCGTGAGTAGGGAGGGTCCAGGCAGGTGCTCAGGGAACAGGGATGAGGGAAAAAAGGTCTACCTCACCAGAGGAGATTAGAAGGGGCCCCCAGGAGTCGCACCTTGATTCCCCGGCCTCTGGGGTTAGAGGCTCCATGGATGATGTCTAGAAAAGAGAAGGGCTTGTGACTTCAAGTACCTAATGGGGTTGTCATGCGGAAGAGGGCTTGGACGTATTTAACTGAGAGTAGACTGGGGAACAAATGGGTAGAATGGTGTTTTCTTCACAACCACCCTCTGAGATAGGTAGCACAAATGCTCCTAGCCCCATTATGCAGGTGAGAAAACTGAGGCACAAGAAGTCCATGCATCCTTGGCCCATCCTTCACAGTAACTCTTTCATATCATTTGTGCCACTATATAAAATCTGTGCCTTCTCCAGAGGGTCTGTCCCTCTCCCTCCCCAGCCCTGGAGGGGAAAGGCCAAGCAGGAAACATGGGATCCCAGGGGTGGCAGACCTGGGCTCCAGAAGCTGACATCCCCATATCCCCTCTGACCTCTCCTGGCTCCGGCTCCAGCTGCGAGGCCCCAGCCGCTGAGTGTAGCTCACTTTTGTTCTGGCTTCTTGCCCCAAGGTTCCCAGCAATGCCCGGCTCCATCCAGGGACCCTCCTGTTCACTGGGCTTACAAGCCACTTCCCACTGCTGCTGGGCCAGGAGATGCATCCCAACAGAAGAGGAGGCTGAAAAATAGGTTCTTGAGCCCAGCCCACCTTCCTGCCCTGAGAGGTGGGGCCCAGGGGTGGCGTTCTTCAGGAGGCTCTGCCTAGAGCCACCCCCAGATCCTGAAGAGGTCCTTTCTTCTGGGCTTCTCCAGTGGGTAGGAACAGGACCTTCCTTAGGGCCTGGGAGAGGGGCATTTGTGTCCTGGGGAACCAGGGACACAAGGATCTCCCAGATTTGCCGCAAATGTCCCTCCAGCTGGGTCTCCATCAATTCCGGTACCCCGTCCACTTGGGAGCCTGACACACAAGATGGCATCCCTGACATTGGCAGGGAGAACCTTTCAGGGGAGGCTGGCACAGCCTGGTGGGGGACCTCCAGGACTATGCCCCTCCCTGAAGATAGGGATAGCTTATCACAGAAGACTTGGGGAAATGCTGAGGGGAGAGCCACTGCAGAGTAGGGGGCTGTATCAGACTGAGGGAAGGGAACTGGGTTGGCAGTCCTAAAGACATTCATCCCACTGGTCCCAGGAGACAAGTTAGGGGCAGTCCCGCCATGCCCCTCACCAGAGGAGGGAAGGCTGAAATCACCCAGCTCCTTGGTGTCAGGGAACTGACCCGAGCCCTGTGTCTTGGGAATGCCAAAGGCCCTGGTGAACTGCGGTACACCTTGAGGGCACCCCAGTGCCAGGCTGGCAGAGACTTCTGGAGTCACATCCCTGTGGGAAAGGGTAAGGGGGCTAGAACAGCCCGGCATCAAGTTGGTGGAGGCCTCTGGAACCTTAATCTTGCTGGGGCAGGGGTGGAGGCTAGAGTACACTGGTGTCAGTTTTGGGGAGGCCCTTGCAGTTATGGTCTTGCTAGAAAGAGTGTGGGGGCAGGGGTATGCCAGTGTCAGATTTGGGGGGGCTCCTGGAGTTATGCCATTATGGGAGAGAGAAGGGAAGCTGGAGGAGGGGTCTGGAGTCAGGGGACTATGGGAGAGAGTGGAGGAGTTAGGGTTCCCTGATGTCTGAGTACTCCCAGAAAGAGTCAAGGGGTTGGGGTGTCCTACTTTCAAGTTGGGAAACCCAGCCTGGCTGGAAGGACCAGAGAAGTTGGGGTACCCTGGTGTCTGGCTGGGGGAGGTCTCTGGAGTCACAGCCCTGTGGGAAAGAATAAGGGCTCTGGGACACCCACGTGTCAGGCAGGGGGAGGCTTCTGGAGCCAGTGTTTTGCTGGAGACAGTATGTAGGTTGGGGTAACCTGGTGTCAGGCTTGGGGAGGCCTCTGGAATTACAGGTCCATGGGGAAAAGAAAGAAGGCTAGGATACTTTGGTGTCCGATTTGGGAGGGCCTCTGGACTCACAGTGCTATGGGGAAGAGAGAGGGGGCTGGGGTGCCCAGGTGTCAGATCTGGGGAAATCACTGGACTCACAGTGCTGTGGGAGAGAGTGAGGGGGCTGGGGTGCCCAGATGGCAGATCTGGGGAAATTGCTGGACTCA